TTCCGTAGGCCAGACAGAAAACTACAGCATATAAAGAAATCTTTCACCTTTTTAAAAAATTTTGATACTTCAAGATTTTAAAACTACAAGGAGATTTTAAAAAAAAAAAATTTGAGTGACAAATTTTTCTTGTGATGCTGTTACTGTAAGGTTGCTTTGCTCATGACAAAGGTGAAATACCTGTTATTTTTCTTGTAACTACTGTTAATGTCCATATTAATAGCAAGAATGTACATTGTTCCTGATGCAGCTACCTTATTAGTTAAACTTCTTAGAGTATGCTTTTTTTTATTAAGTCTGAATGTTAGAAAAATGAAATTTGAAATTTTTGAGAACTGTCTACTATATGCTTTTAAAGATTGCCTAGGTTTTTGGCAGTTCTGCTTTGAATACAGACTCCAGATAGGTTCAGAGTTCAGAGTTTTTTTGGAAGTTCATACAAACTATAAATAACGTCAGTTGTAGTATGTTTTGTAATGTGTATGTATATATATCAGTAGAAACAATTGGTTGTTAACTCGGACCATGTCCAAAATACTGAAGAGTGATTCTGCCTTCATAAGCTACATGATCTGTGTTCTTACTAATTTTAACCCTAATTTGAATATAGAACCATCCCTTTATATATTGATCACATACTTGATAACCATTAGTTTGGCTAGCTATCTGTCAGCCATCACAATAAATATCATGGCGGGGACAAACCCTAAAATAACTTCAATGTGTTGCATTACTAAGAGGCTAGCTGCCTTCCAGATCCATGCTTAGTGGTTTGTCAGGGTTTTTTTTCCCCACATCAAGAATGTTTTATCATTAAAGTTGGTAGTTTCTGCTAAATCTTACTCAGAATCAAGGAGTTGCTGGTTATTTATCAAAAATGCTCACTTTCTTGTAAATCCTGGTACTGGTAGCATTAGAATTTAAGATTCTGTAATGTATCTAAACATACATGCTACTTTCTATTAAAAAATGAAATACTGTGTAAGTGAAGTAGAAATGCTTTTCAAGATATGGATTTTTTTCTGTTTAAGGAAAAATTCTTTGTTAAATTTTTAAATTGTCTATAAAATACACTTGTGAATTTAAAATCAATTGTAATGTTATTTGCAACTGCGTTTTAATGCGGCTTTGGTTTATTTCTGTCTCTTTCAGGCTTCAAAATACATCCCTGATATCTGTGTTATTAGGGCAGTACAAAAAATTGTTTGGGCATCAGGTTGTGGGTCAGTTCAGCTGGTTTTCAGCTCGAATGAGGAAATTAGTAAAATCTATGAAAAGGTAAGAATTCATAAGCAACTTCTTTTCTATATAACTGTTCTTTTGTGAAGAAAGGGACAGTGTCAACCAGGTCAGGCTTAGAGTGAGTGTGTTGAGCTTTTAGGTAGGCATCTTGGTGATGATATATTTTGGAGTCTATTATATGTCAGTTTTCATACCACAGTTTAATTTTCTATTCCGAATTGCCTTTCTCAGTAACTAATTTTAACTTGAATCTGTTGTCAGTTCAAAAATGCACCAGTTCTGTAAGCTGCTGTAACATGTTTTCAGTGCAGTTAGATTTCACATCTAAATAAGGAATAAGCATTTCTTGCAATGCTGATTTTTCTAGTCTTCAGATTTAAGCAATCTATTCTACAGAAGTGGATTTAAAGCGTATGTGCAGTCTAGAATGAGAAACAAGAGCTAACTGATCTG